CTGATTTTAAATGGTAAGAAAGGGTCAAAAGTTTTTTCCCACTCCTCTCCTGTGGCCACGTAGAATCTCACACCAGAGACAACCAATGTTCTTTTTTGTGTATTCTTCCATAAATTTTTATGCATATGCATGCAAAATGTGTGTTTAATTTTTATTTTCCCCAATGGATGCATGTTATAGCATGGTAGGCAGTGTAGTATAATGGTTAACAGCATAGATTAGAAATCCAGATCTCCTGGGCTTAAATCCCAGCTCCACTACATATTACCTGAATGGCCCCTAAGCAAATTACATAACCTATGTTTGCCTCAGTTTCCCCACTTGCAAAATGAGGATTACTGCTAGAGTTACTACAAAGATTAAATGAGTTAATATTCATAAAGCTCTTAAAACTGCATCTGAAGCACAGTAAGAAACAAACTCGTTAAAAAAAAAAAAAAAAAAAAGGGAAGGAGAGAAAAGGAAGGAAGGAACTGTCCAGACATACTTTGCTTTGTTTTAAACTCAGTATCTTTTTCTGTGGCTTTGTGGAATTGCATTGTGCCGATAAGACACTGGAAGTTTACCAGTGCCCTGGTGATGGATAGAGTGATGGTCTTTTCTTTTTCCATGACACTGTACTCTACCATGAATAACCTTGTGTACAGTCATTGTGTATGTGTGTGAATATGTCTGTAGGATACATACATAAAAGTGGAATTGCCAGGTCACAGAGTACATGCATTTGCAATGTTGATAGCTATTGCCACATTGCCTTCATGGAAATTATACCTATTTACTCTCCTAACCAACAATGTGGCAAAGGGCCTTTTTCTAAGACTCACGCAGTGTTTATAATAAACTTTTAACACAGTGTTCATAATAAACTTTTAAATCTCTGCCGAAGTGATAGTGACATCTCAGTGTAGTTTTAATTTGCATTCTTCTTATGATACGAGAGGGTATCTTTTCATGTGTTTCAAAGCTCTGTTTCTTTTTCTGTGAACTGTCTGTTCATTTGCTTTCTCTATTTTTCTAATGAGTTATTTATTCCTTACTGATTTATTATTTATTCCTTACAGATTTCTAGGACCTTTTTACATATTAAGGAAACCTGCTTTGTGATTGGAATTACAATTATTTTTTCAAATATTTCACTTGTTTTTTTAGTCCTACGTATAGGGATTTCATTAGGCAGAGTTTGTGTGTATATGTGTATAGTGTAATTTTTCAGTATTTTCTGTAATGGCTTCTGGGTGTTGTGTCATAGAATAGCTTTTACAACTCTTACATAAAACTCCCAAGGTTCCAAAGTGTCATTTAGTACTTTTATGGGTTTCTTTCCCCCCAACATTTAAATCTTAGATCTACCTGGAATTTATCCTAAGCATGTGAATGATGGAACTGTTCAGGAGTTCTAAGTCCTCATTGGGCCCTCCCCGCCTGGCAGCATTCCTTATTTCCTTCCAGTGTGAGTCTTTATTCTACACCCCCCTCTTCCTTGGTGCCTCCGAGTCTCTCCTGTGGCTTTCTTCACCAGTTGCATCAGTGCAGGCAGCCATTCGTGTCTAAACCCCAGGGGCTTTTTCTGAAAGCTACCTAGCAGCCTGTGTGGTCTTCAATCACATGTTCCTCACAGGGCAGCTCTCAGCAGTCCCCAAAACCATCCCCGTTTGTCCTTGGACCTCCGTTCCCATGCCAGCCTGCCCGCTGAAGTGCCTACAATGAACCTGGACAGTTTATCTGAAGCCGTGGGAGAGGTGGCTTATTTCCACTTCTTTGCAGACTGAAACATCAGCCTTTCCAAATATCAGTCCCTCTGCCCCAGCGTCACCACTCAGCCCCATCCCACCTCTCTCAAAGGAGGCACCGTGTTATTTCCACCACAGGAATTTTCATCAAAAGGATAAGTAAAATGCCTTTGTTTTCTGAAAGTCCCTCTTTAATCTCAAATTTCCCAATTTCTATTAGCGCCACAACTCCTACCTGCTTCCTCTGCCACTGTCCAGTTTAGAACTAGCACACTTTTTCTTCTTGAATGTCTCCAAAGTCAGCTCCTCCATAGCCCGACACCAGCCAGTTGCCTGTCACTTACCTTGATGCCTAGGTCCGCATTTCCTTTCATCTGGTTAGAAACCTCTTCGAAATCACATCCAGTCTCACCCAAAGCATCTCTCGTGCCAGTTTCCAGACTTAGACCTTAAGCAAAGGAGGCTCATAGGAGCCCACAGCTACCCTGAGCCTCATGGCCCTCATGCCTAGAAGCCTGCTGGCCCTTGGGCCTCCTCAGGATGCCTGGCCTGGAGCAGCCATCCTGGCAATGGACACACCTATCTGACCTCAGATACCTTTCTCTTTCTTCCCTCTTGGAGCATCTAGTAAATGCCCCTTTTCTTATGGAGCTGTCAACCTTCCCCTTCAGAAAACCTCATTGTGGTGCCCTCAGTTCATGAACCACCAACTTGAGAGCTTGTACCTCTCCCGGGCGTGAACCCAGGAGGCTGAACTTTCAGTGAGCAGGGATGGTGCCACTTATGAAGATAAATTGTTTCTGACTAATGACATATGAGGGTCTCAGCAGCTGTAAAGATTATGGCTCTGTTAGTCCATCTCTTCATAATGACATACACTATGTATCCAACTAACCTACCTCATCACTGATCCTTAACCTTGCAAAGTTCGCCTTAAAAATAAGCTCCCAGCCATGTCACTGAATAAAAATGCAAATCGCAGAGTAGCATATAGGATGTGATACTGTTAACAAATGTGTGCGAACACACGGGCCTAATTTCTCCGTGGGCATATATGTAAATGTAGAGAAACCAGCCTGGAAGAAAGCACGCCACACTGATGACAGCATCTGCCTCCAGGGGCACGGTGGAGGGCCTGGACCTGGCAGGGGTACTCAAGGGCCATTTTCACACTATTGACTTTTTTTTAAAGAGAAAAATATATTCAGTAAATTTTTAAGTTTAAAAATTCACTTAAAGAAAAAAACTTCATTGTAGAGGAAGTGGCAAATAAATGCCAGTTAGTGTTTTTCATACTTAGGAATAAAAAGAGTAGAATGATTTCCTAAAAAGGGCCATGGATGGCAAATGTAGAGACTATGGGAAATCTATAAATGGGCAATGCCCTGAAGTGCATTGCTTAGAAATCAAACAGTGCCTCCCACACATAGATACAGGCATCCTCTGTACCTCGGCTCTAGCTTACCAGAGCAGCCACCTTCCAGGATTTTGTAATGGTCTTAGAAAATCAGTCCCTACAAACACGCAGTTAGAGGGGGAAAAATGACATAAAATTGCATGTTTTAAGGTAAATCTAAAGTACTTCTTTACCTCCCGCTTGGAAGTTCTAGGCAGTTTCATTCCTTACTGTTTCTACAGCACCCGAAGTGGCAATTCTCAAGGAGGAGGGAGCCAAAACCAAAACCACACCTGCCCATACACTTGTAGGAAATGAGTGGGTAAGGAGACCCGGTTACTAGTAGGATGCTATATCCCTCAGCTGTGCAAGGCAGCAAGCAGGATTAAGACCTGAATTCTAAGTCTAGCTTTAGTATTAAATATTATCTGTCCAAAAAAAAATCATTAATATAAAATAGCCACATATATGGCCGGGTGCGGTGGCTCACGCCTGTAATCCAGCACTTTGGGAGGCCGAGGCAGGCAGATCACAAGGTCAGGAGATTGAGGCCATCCTGGCTCACACGGCGAAACCCCATCTCTACTCAAAAATACAAAAAATTAGCCAGTGTGGTGGTGGGTGCCTGTAGTCCCAGCTACCAGGGAGGCTGAGGCAGGAGAATGGTGTGAACCTGGGAGGCAGAGCTTGCAGTGAGCCAGGATGGCTGCACTACAGCCTGGGCAACAGAGCAAGACGCTGTCTTATTTAAAAAAAAAAAAAAAGCAAACCACATACATATCCACACAACAAAAGCTATCTTCAGAGTAAAGCCCCCTCCCCCTAAAATATCCCCACCATTTTTGTGGTTAATTGGTAATCCAATTTGCTGCTATACAATAAGACAGTCTTGACAGCATGGAGCCAGAATGCTGGCTTCAAATCCCAGCTGCTCCACTTCCTGTGACCTTGGGCAAGTTACTGAATCTCTCTGGCCCAGAGGCTTCGCATCTGTAAAATGGTAGTGATCACGAGGGCCTCCCTCGTAGGGTTGCTTGGGGTAGTGAAGAAGCTGACACACGACAGCTGTCTGAATAGTGCCTGAGAGACAGGAAAGCCCTTAAATAAGTTCAGCTAGTATTATCTGAATTGAGTAAACTTCCACCTTTAAGAAATCAAATGATTAAGACACCCTAATTTGATGACTATACTGCAGCTTGACGGGCCACACATGCTCTTTGAGACAGGCCCCCTAGTTCGTCTTGGGACACTCCTTTTTGCACCCAGTGTGTGTCACTGAGTGCTAGCTGCGTGGTGCTGGCTTGGCAGATGGCCATGTGTCCTGAGGGCAGAGCGTCTGAGAATTAAGACTGTGAGGGACACACAGCCAGGTGCCCCTTCAGTAGGAATATATTTATTCCCCTTGGGGATTTGGTCTGTCTTCATAGAACCTCAGGATTTCATCAACACATAGTTGAGAGCCATCCCTCTGTGGCCGTTTATAAAGCAATAACAGAGATAAGATCTAGAAGCACTGCTTGTGGTCCTCACTGGCATGAGACAGTTTGAACCAAAAAAAAAACTGCCTTGTACACAATGTGAACTCTGACTTATACAGACCTACATTTTAACAGCTCTTTATTCACTGGTATTGGCATCTCAAATAGCTTTTGGAACAGTTTGGTTAAAACTAATGAAATAGTGCCTGTCTCTTTCACCATCTATCTTGTGTGTTTTCAGTATCAGTGAGACAATCCGAAGCACCTCCCTGGCCTCACCAAGTCTCTGGGCTGGGGGAGGAGTAAGGAAGAGCCGTCCATTTGGATTTGAACAGAGGGACAGGTATCTTTTTTGCCAGTGCACATTAACTCGGCTCCTTTGGGTCTGTGTTGCAGGGATCATGTACCGCAAATCCTGTGCGTCATCAGCGGCTTGTCTCATCGCCTCTGCCGGGTACCAGTCCTTCTGCTCGCCAGGGAAACTGAACTCAGTGTGCATCAGCTGCTGCAACACCCCTCTTTGCAACGGGCCAAGGCCCAAGAAAAGGGGAAGTTCTGCCTCGGCCCTCAGGCCAGGGCTCCCCACCACGGTCCTGCTCCTCAAATTAGCCCTCTTCTCGGCACACTGCTGAAGCTGAAGGAGATGCCACCCCCTCCTGCATTGTTCTTCCAGCCCTCGCCCCCAACCCCCCACCTCCCTGAGTTTCTTCTGGGTGTCCTTTATATTCTGGGTAGGGAGCGGGAGTCCATGTTCTCTCTTTGTTCCTGTGCAAATAATGAGGCAGTGTAAAGCATTCTGAATAAATTCAGTCTGGCTGAATTGTCAGTATGTACTTCAAGGAAGGAGGTGGAGTGAAAGTTCACCCCCATGTCTGTGTAACCAGGGTCAAGGCCATGCTGGCAGAGTCAGCCCTTAGAAGTCACTGAGCTGGGCATCTGCCTTTTGCAAAGCCTCCAGTGTCCATTCCATCCCTGATGGGGGCATAGTTTGAGACTGCAGAGGGAGGGTGACGTTTTCTTGGGGGAGGAGGGCCAGTTCCCACTCAAGGCTCCCTCACTTGACATTCATTCAAACTTCATGCTCCTGAAAACCATTCTCTGCAGCAGAATCGGCTGGTTTCGTGCCTGAGTTGGGCTCTAGTGACTCGAGATTCAATGGCTGGGGTTCGGCCTCACTCTGAAAAGTGCTTAAGAAAACCTTCTTAGTTCTCCTTGCAGAGGACTGGCGCCAGGACGCGACGAAGAGCAGCGGGCGCTGCATGAAGCGGGCGCCGTCCGTGGAGGAGTGCGCGTGGGCGCGCAGGCGCTTCTCGTGGTTGGCGTGCTGCAGCGACAGGCGGCAGCACAGCACCTGCACGAACACCCGCCGAAACTGCTGCGAGGACACCGTGTACAGGAGCGGGTTGATGACCGAGCTGAGGTAGAAGAACGTGTCCGAGAAGGGGAGGAGGATCATGTACGCCCGGAAGTAGGACCTCGTCCAGTCGTGCTTGGGTTTGGCTGCAGCCATGATCCTCCGAATCTGGTTGGGCATCCAGCATACGGCCAGTGTCACAACAATCAGCCCTGGGCAGACACGAGCAGGAGCGGAGAGACAGAAAAGAGAAAAATACAGCATGAGAACACAGTAAATAAATAAATAAAACCATAAAATATTTAGCCCCTCTGTTCTGTGCTTACTGGCCAGGAGATGGTACCAATTTTTTCAGTGTTGGACTTGACAGCTTTTGCCACAAGCAAGAGAGAATTTAACACTGTTTCAAACCCGGGGGAGTTGACTGTGTTAAAGACCATTAAATGCTTTAGACAGTGTATTTATACCGGTTGATGTCAATTTTTTAAAAATGTTTTCATTGGTGTTTGTGTATCCAGAAAGCATTTTATGTTACCCATAAATCTAGTTTTGTCTTTTTGTTTTAAAGAAAAAGATGTATACATGCAGTATAGCTGCATTAGATAAAGCAGTGTTTGTATTTTAAAGGATGTCCGCACAAAGACGACCTAGTGATATTTTTAAATCTAATGGAAGTAGCGTCCCTTTGGCAACAAAGCAGCATATTTAATAACACCGGTTGTGCGTTCGGTTTCAGGGGAAGCAAAATCAGGAATAGCCTGTCACCAAGAATGTTTGCTGGACATATACATGCTAGGTATGCACACCTATAATCGTGATGCTCATATCCGCAACAGCCCATGTGTTTCTTTCAGACACTTTTAGATTCATCATCTCTTCCACCCTCATGTGGGGAAAAAGAATTATTCAGAGATGGCAAATGTAAAACTTCCTTCAAGTTCAGCCAGCAACATGTTCCCTTCCTTTCCAGCTCTGAGCTGTGCTGTCAGCAGCCCAGAAGAAATCAGGCCCTAGAGAAGAGACCACTCAAAGGCCCCTTCTGTAGATCAAATGTTTACTGCATGGACATTTGTTTGCATGTCCACGTTTGTATTCCAACTTATGTAACCACCACTAGTTCTGCAATTCTGACAGCGATAAAGATGCTACACAGACCACAAACAACTGAAATCACAGGTTTCTTGAGAGTTTAGCTACAGTGACAAGAAAGAAAAAAGGAAGATCAGGGTATCTGCGGAGCATTTGCTCTCTTTTTGTAAGAAGCCAAGACACCCAGAATAAATTCCCCTGTGGAGAACTGCTATGTTAAAGCAGGATTTGCATTTTCAGAAATGCTTCCTTCCTCTACTTCAATTGTAGTAAGAAACATTTACTCACATTTTCAATCCTCTGATTGTCTAGGAAACCACAGGGAAGTGACCGTTGGCAATGAATGCTTCCTGCCCATGACCCATGGTAAATATTTTATTAATAAATGGGGGCCAGACATGGTGGTACACGCCTGATATCTCAGCACTTTGGGAGGCCAAGGCAGAAGAATCACTTAAGCCTAGAAGTTTGAGACCCACCTAGGCAACATAGCAAGACCCTATCTCTACCAAAAAAAAAAAAAAAAATAGAAAAACTTAGCCAGGCATGGTGGTACATACACACCTCTGGTCTCAGATACTTGTGGGGCTGAGGTGGGAGGATCACGTGAGCCCGGGAGGTCAAGGCTACAGTGAGACATGAATGTGCCACAGCACCGTAGCCTGGCTGACAGAGTAAAATTCTGTCTCGATAAGCCAATAAATGCTCCAGGAACAAACAGCCACATTCACACATCCAGAGGTGAGCCTCCTGTATGCACTGGCCTGGGTATTCCTTCCCTGCTGTTGGAGGGGACCCTAGCTGTGTTCAAATCCTCCACAAATCCATATGTGAGCAAGGCACAGGTTTCTCCTGTCAACTCCCAGTCTAAACTTTGAAATATAAACCAATTTGTTTATTTTTTTCTTTGAGTTTGCTATCCTGAGAACATCCAGTAAATCTAAAACTAAAATAGGTGAGGTAACATATTGATCTGATGAAAAAATGGTCAAAAAAAAATACCACCTTAATTCAAGAGTTTATTCTGAATCACCTAGTTACAGGTGCTGGATAGGAACAACAACAACAACAATAAAAAACGTATTTCTGATTTTAAAAAATGGGTAAGAAATCAGGGACTTTTTTTCCCACTCCTTTGAGGAGTACAGGTGCCCCCAGCCACCTGTGCTATTCCAAATTTATCTTAAGTTCCTGCTCCTTGTTTGCATCTCATTCAGCTCTGACTGAGAGGCTCATTAATTCTGAAGGAACTAGGAAAAAGACCATACCTGAGGAAGCCACATATTTTGACAAAGTTTGCATATTTTTTTTCCTCTTCCCTGTCACTGCATTTCAGAGAACATCTACAACCATCTTCATCTGAGGAGTTATTGGCCAGAATATGGAAATTGAGTGCCATTTTAGATGTGAACGGTGCTATACCGTGGGAGGTTGTACTTCAGGCGGTGAGAATCTAGAAAGGCGATGAGAAACACCTTGTACTAACCATGAGCTGAACATAGCACAGCTTTTACAGCCAACAGACAAAGGCAGTGAGAAGAGAAGGCAGGCTTGTGAAACAAGGGGAGAGAATGATAACATTGCTTTTCTTCTGTCCTGTCTTTGCTCCTCGTTCTCTTGATCTCTTGTTTATGTGACCCTTACTCTTCTGACAGCTTCCCACATGCACTGGCCTGGTGTCAATTGTCCTTTGCTGATCATCCCATCAAAAGCAGCAGAGTTCAGTAAAAAGCAAGACCCAGCCTCCAGGTACAAGGCAAAGGGCAGGGGTAGATAGTTGTGGCGCGGTTTGTAGCCAGGATAAAATTCCTGCTCTGAAGTCAAAAATGAGCTAAAGTAACTAAGTGGGAAGCAGCTCAGTGTGAACAAATCTAACAGAAAACCAACTCAGAGTCGCAATGATGAGGCAAAGAAGGGGAAGTTCGGTTTTCTGGGTGTAAAAGTAGGTAGATATAACAGCAAGGACAAACTTGTAGAACAGGAGAGACAAAGACCTGAGTTAGAAATGGAGACAGATTTTCACATTGTGCGCCAGATGAGTGTTTTGATATAACCTACAAAAATGCGGAATATTTAGTACTGAGTTTTTCCTATGCCAGTTTCTGTGCTAAGCACTCTGCTAATTTCCCATGCATTTCTCACTCCTAACAACAACCCTGGAGAGCTTTGACCTGGTGAAGTCAAAGTAGTTATTCTCTTAATTTAACAAATGATGGAGTGTAGGCTCAGAGAAAGTTAGTTGCCCAAGTGCAATAGCTAGGACACATCCTTGCCAGACTCCACAATCCATGCTATATATTTTTTCTCAAAACACAATATTGTCTGCTATACATACTTTCAGCTCGAAAAATACAGAAACACAAGCAAGAAAGTAAACACCACAAGTCCACCATGTAAAATGGATACAGTACAGTGCTGTCCACTGAAAATATAGAATGTGAGCCATATATGTAGTTTTAAATTTTCTAGTAGACACATTCAAAGAGAAAAAGAGGTGGGTGAAATCAATTTTAGTACTATTTAACCCGATACACTCTCAAATTATTTCACAGGTAATTTCAACATGCAATCAATGTAAAAATTATTGATGAAATGTCTTACATTTTTTAATACTAAGTCATTGAAACCCAGTATAGCTTTTACTCACACAGTATGCCTCAGTTGGGAACAGACACATGTGAATAGTGTCTACAGTGTTGGACATCCACTGGAAGAATCCTTCCTAGCCCCTCCCCAGAGTAGCAAGACTCCCCAGTTTCCCATTCCCCCAACCATCCCTTTAACAACCACATCCCAGACAGTCATATCAAACCAAGGAAGCCCCAAGGAAGCTCACACATAGCCTGTATTTATTACACTACAATGCAACCACTGCTGAATTAAATTTCTGAGCATGCATTCTCAGCTATAGTGAGGAACAGGTTTAGCCAGTCTTTTCCTAGAAAGCCTTCCATATAAGGGAACTCTAAATCATTTAAAACCTAAATAATCCTGAAAGCACAAGGATGTATTTTGCATTTCTCTTTCTAAACTTTGTCTAGCTATCCTAGAATAATGCAGATCATGCCAACTACTTGGCAGGGCTGTTGGGATAAACTTCCCCTACCTCAACTGGAGGTGGGAAAAATGGCTGGCGCGTTTCTTCCTGTGTTTTGAAAGACAGTTTTGCTCTAGGAAAATGGAGCATTAGGCACAGAGGTACAGCCGATGACAAATGTGAGGTATGGGTCATTGAGCACTGTAATGGAGGTGAGCCTCTCAAGGGAAGAAAACCAAATTTGCCCCCTTGTAAAATTTGCCATTTTATAATGACAAGTAATTGCTTATTTTTACATTAAAAAAAAGTTTGTTGTTCTAGATGATACGCTGTTGAGAATACATACTGCATCCCAAGGTAACTTTCTATTCTGGCAGTTTACAATTGGTTCAACTCTAGCCCAGCTACCCTGTGGCTAACACAAAGCTTTAAAGTCTTATTCACGCCCTAATAGAGTGTATTAAAGATTTGACTAAATGCATGTTTGGCTGCAATCAATATGGATTTGTATATTAGACCTGGAAAACCTCTATAATTCTTTGGTCGGTGTGGCATAATGTACAGCCCGCAGTTAAATAACTTTAGCGTGAACTTGAATGAAGATCAGTGAACTGAACCCACTCATGTAAAGCAGGTAAACTGTTTTAACTGAATTCCCGATAGATCTGTATTATTATACTCCAGAGAGCCTTGCACTCTGGGTTATGAAATACCTTCTTATCTGGTTTTCCACATAAAGTACTTTCATTTTTCCTCCTTGATCACTACACTAAAATGACAAGAGCCATTAGATCATGACACAGATTCATTCTTGGCAGAGTAACGTTGTTTAAAAAACAGAAGTAATGCAGATGTCTACCACCACCCTGAACTGAAGGCTGACATTTCAACAGCATTAGAGGCAGTCTGCTTCGTTTAATCTTAAGAAGCGCATTAAGCTCTGCAGCCTGGGACATGGTGGCATTGATGTATCTGACACCATGCTCTATTTTCTCCCCTCTAACCTTTAAAGTCAAAGTAACTTCTAGTGTGTTCCCCAGAATTCCATCTTAGAGTCATTAGAGAACAGGAGAGCAAGAGGAGACCTTGAGAGCAGCCTTTTAACTCCCTTGTCTTACACATGGGCAAACTAAGGTTAAGTGATTTGCCCAAGATCTCCTGGGGTCAGGGTGGCCATACTACTTAGAACACTGGATTCTACCCTCGATTGCCAAGCAAGCCCATTTTTTTAACTGCAATTTTAGGGTTTTTTTCCCCAGCTTTAGACTCAAGTGCTGACCATTCACAGCATGGGATGCAGCAAGTGGCAGGTGTATACAACACATTTTCTATGC